GGTTTAAGTGAAACATTGATTGGCCATTATTAATACCCATTTTTTTTTAGAATAAAGCAACATTTCTGTTCTCTCTCCCTCTTTTTCTTCCTCTTTCTTCCTCTCCTTCACTCCTTTTTTTTCTTTCCTTCTCTCAAAAAAAAGAAAAAAAAATAAATCAACTTATAGACCTCTAGATCCAGGTCGGCAATGTCTCTCTCATTGCTTGATCTCCTTCTTTCCCTTCTCTCCCTCCCTCCCTCCCTCCCTTCCTCCCTCCCTTCCTCCTTTCCTCCCTTTCTAAAAAAAAAAAAAAGAAATAAAAGAAAAATCTGCCTCCAGAAACGTTATAGTGAAACCATAGAAAATGAAATGCAGGCCGAGCACAGTGGCTCACACCTGTAATCCCAGCACTTTGGGAGGCCAAGGTGGGCAGATCACAAGATTAGGAGATTGAGACCATCCTGGCCAACATGTTGAAACCCCGTCTGTAATAAAAATACAAAAATTAGCTGGGTATGGTGGCTCATGCCTGTAATACCATCTACTTGGAAATCTGAGGCATGTGAATTACTTGAATTCAGGAGGCAGAGGTTGCAGTGAGCCAAGATCATGCCACTGCACTGCAGCCTGGTGATAGACTGAGAGTCTGGAAAGAAAGAAAGAGAGAAAGAGAAAAAGAGAGAGAGAGAGAAAGAAAGGAAGGAAGGGAGGGAGGAAGAGAGGAAAGGAAGGAAGGAAAATTCAAAGAGAAAATCTTATATATAATAAAAGGAAAAGGACAGATTATCAACAAAGAAGCACCAATCTGATCAACAGCTGATGTGAAAAGCCAGTACAAGTGAGAACCAGATGTCAATGGAAAGACAACTTCAGGATATTGAAAGAAATAAAAAAACTACCAACCTGGACTTCTTTATCCAGATAACAAGTATTTTAATAAGATAGGTAAAATATACACTGATATGAAAAAATAAGTGATGAACTGCCCAAATATTTTCAATTTATGTTATAGAAAGGATAAATATCTCTAAGATATTAAAATTTTCTTTAAAAAGAGAAGAGACTAACCTTAGAAAAATGAACAAGAGATATGAACAAATACACAGAAAAAAATAAATGCAAATTTTTCTTGGTTGAAAAGATACTCCATGTCATCCAAGATAAGATAAATGCAAATTAAAACTATAGTGAGATACTGTCTTATACCTATGAGATCGGCAAAAATCCAAAAATTTGACAGCATACTGTATTATTGGGGCTTTGGGGTGAGTGTTCCTTTCATTCATTGCTGTTAGGAATGAAAAATGATTCAACAACTATACATAGAATTTGGCAAATAACTGATAAAATAATATCTGCAATTACTCTTTGACCCACTAATCCCTCTTGCAGGAATCTATCCCAAAGATGCACTGACAAAAGAAAAAATACAAAAGGATGCATACACAATACTTTTCACTGCAGCACTGTGTGAAATAGCAAAGCCTGGAAACAACTCAAATACCTGTCAATGGGTGGCTGGTATACCCACCCAAGTGATAACTCTACAGTTGTAAAAAGGAATAAGGAATTTCTTTATAAACTACTATGGAGTAATCTCCAAGATATATTTTTAAGCAAGAAAAGCAAGGTGGAAAAGTATATACTATTGGTTATCTAAAAGGAAGAGATATAAATATGCATACACAATTGATGGTATTTAAAAATAGAATGACAAATAATAAAACTTTAAATATGATTACTCATAGAGGATTACATAAACAACTACCCACCCAAGATAATCTACAATCAAATTATGAAAATCATTAAGACAGTTGACTAGACTAGGGTTACTAGATATAAGACAAATATAATTAAAAAGCAATTGAATACCTATATTAACAAGAAATCAAGAAAGTATATACACACATACATATATACATTTTAAATTAACATTTAATAGCCACATAAGACTCAAAACATTTAGGAATAAATCAACAAAAGATGTATAAAAACTTCAAGCAGAAAAAGTATTAACTTTTATTGAAAAATATTTAAAGAAAGCTGAACTAAATAAAGAGCCACCACATTCATTATGTTAATGGATATAAAAACTCATGTAACAAAACTATTAGGTCGCTCCAAATTAATTTATAGATACAATACAATTCTAATATAAATGCCTCAGATTTTTAAAGTCAGAATTAACAGGGTGATCCTAAAATTTATATGCAAGAGCAAAAGATAAAAAAATATCTAATATATAGTTTTGGAAAAAAATCAAGGCTGGGGCCAGGGCTCATTTTTGTCAATTGTCTCGATTTATTATTAAGCTGTAGGAATTGAGCTACAGACATTAACTGTAGTGAGTTTCCAGGACAAATAAATAGACCAATGGAACAGAACAGAAAGTCAGAAAGAGATATTAATAACACATTATTCTATGGTAATCTAATATATGACAAAAATCCATCACAGATTAATGGATATCTATGGTGCTATAACAATTCATTATCAGAAAGAGAGAGAGGGACAGAAAGACAGATGCACATGTACACACACACACAAACTATCAAACACATAAATTACAGATAGATTAAAGAACTAAACAAAAAACAAGTGAAACATTAAAATTTTTAGAATGTAAGAAAATATCTTTATGACTTTTAGTAGGAAAGGCTTTCTTAGAATGAAAAAGCATAGGCTGGGGGCTGTTGCTCACACCTGTAATCCCAGCACTTTGGGAGACCAAGGTAGGAGAATCACCTGAGGTTGGGAGTTTGAGACAAGCCTGGCTGACATTGCAAAACCCTGTCTGTACTAAAAATATAAAAAGTAGCTGGGAGTGGTGGTGTGTGTTTGTATTCCCAGCTACTTGGGGAGGCTGAGGCAGGAGATCACTTGAACCCAGAGGCAGAGGTTGCAGTGAGCTGAGATTGCACCACTGCACTCCAGCCTGGGCGACAGAGCAAGACTCTGTCTCAAAAAAAATTAAAAAAAAGGATAAAGAAAAAATTTGATGACAAGATGGAAATTTAAAAATGTATATTAATCAATGACACCATTAAAATAGATTAAAAGACATGTCACAGATTGGGAATGTTATTTGCAAACAAATCCATAACATATAAAGAACTCTTATACATCAGTGAAAAGACAGGTAACCTAAAAATACTATAAAAATTAGATAAAATACACAAAAAGGCAATTGACAGAAGAGAAAAAAATGGTTGGTCAATAAATGTATGAAAAGATAGCTTCACTAGGAATCAGAGAAATACAAATTAAAACCACAGTGAGATATCATTGCACATTTATTAGAAATAAACAAAAATGAACAAATGTCAATGCTAAGTGTTAGAATGGATGTGGAGCGGTGAGAACCCTTAGACATTGCTGTCATGTATGTAAAATGGTACAACTACTTTGGAGAACAATTTAGTAATAGCAAGTGTAGTTGATAAAGCATATATTGTAAAATCTAGTAATTCCACTCCTAGATGTATACCCTGAAGAATGTGTCCTACACATATGCTCAAGGAATTGTATGCATTATTTATAAAAGGAACAAATTGGAAACAATTTAAATGAACAAACATAGGAACATAGAAAAATTGTAGCATAACCATACTGTCAAACATTCTAGAACTATAAAAATAAATTAGAATTGAATGCACAACATAGTTGAATATCACAAACATAATTTTTATCCAGAAAACATTCTGGCTAAGAGTACATACACTAAGGTCGGGTGTGGTGGCTCTTGCCTGTAATCCCAGCACTTTGGGAGGCCAAAGTGGGAGGACTGCTTGAGGCTAGGAGGAATTTAAGACCAGCTTGGCCAACATAGTGAGATCCCATCTCTTAAAAAAAAAAAAAAAAAGAGTATACATAGTATGATGCCTTTCATACAAAATTTTAAAGCATGACAATACTATAGATTATTTGGAGAAGCATACACATGTAGTTCCTGTATAAAGAAATTTATGGAGGCTGGGTGCAGTGGTTCATGACTTTAATCTCAGCACTTTGGGAGACAGAGGTGGGCAGATGTCTGAGGTCAGGAGTTTGAGATCAGCCTGGCCAGCATGGTGAAATCTTGTCCCCACTAAAAATACAAAAAAAATTTAGCCAGTCATGGTGGTGCATGCCTATAATCCCAGCTACTAGGGAGGTTAAGGCAGGAGAATCTCTTGAACCCAGGAGGCAGAGGTTTCAGTAAGCCAAGATTGCACCACTGCACTCCAGCCTGGGCGACAGGGCGAGATTTTGTCTCAAAAAATAAAATTATTAAAAGAGAGATGGAAATTCAGAAATGTTAAACAGGGAATCTTCACTGTATTGACAATTTTTTTTTTTTAAGCTGGTAGTGGGTACCTGGATTTTCATTATATTTTTCTCTATTTTTAGCATATCTCAATATTTCATAATAAACATGTAATAAATTTCATATGTGCATAATATTAAATAAATTATAGAAGTATATATACCAAAAGATTCATTGTGTTTATCTCTGGATAGTAGAAATATATATTTTCTTTGTTTTGCATGCTTACATTTTCTAATTTGTATTTCTTTTATTTTAAAAACATCTTAAAACATAGAAGGATGTCACAAAGACACAGAGCTTCTATGAGATCTTTCATATGTTACCCTTGCCGGTATATAAGATACCCCCAAACTAATGTTCTAACAGCCAGTCAATATTTTATCCCTTCTCTCTTATGCTGCCATTTTGGTCTGTTTAGGTTTAATGATATCTGTTTTAGGTGGTACCTAACCATCTCTTGGCATAAAAAGCCGGCTCAATGATTGCTTGTTAAATCTTGAATGAATGAATTGCAATAAACATGCAGATAACTCAGCATTGACTCACCTATAGGTAATGTCCACAGTCTTTACACTGTCTTCTACATCTCCAGTGATGCAGAACTCATCCTTGACTTGCATGTTCATTTCAAATCCTTTTTCAAGCTCCCAGTACAAGAAGACACTATTGCTTCCTTCTCCAAACAAAACCTGCTTTCTGTTACTTCTAGGCCTTTGTCCATGTACCTCCCTATTCCTGAAATGAATACAACCTTTGTTTGTCTACCTGGTAAGTATCTATTAATCTATCATATTACAGTTTAAACATTTTTCCCCCTGTGAAGCATTCCTGGTTCTCTCCCTTCACTCATTAATTCACTCAACAATTACTGTGATAGGCTAAATAATGGTCCCCGAGAATCATCAGTTCCTAATATCCAGCAGTTGTGAATATGTTACTTTATATGGTCAAAAGGACTTTACAAATATGATTGAGTTAAAGATCTTGAGATGAGGGGAAGATAGAGTAAGAGTAAGACAGAAGGTGATGCAAAGATAGAAGCAGAGAAATTTAAAGATGCTATGCTGCTGGGTTTAAGGTAGAGAAAGAGAAAGGAATGCATCTCTGGTAGCTGGAAAAGGCAAGAAAGTGATTATTCTCTAGAGCCTCCAGAAGGAACCAGCTCTGCTGACACCTTGAGTTTTGCCCTGTAAGACTCATGTAAGACTTCTCGTACCCAGAACTGTCAGAGAATACATTTGTGTTGTTTAAAGCCACTAACTTTGGCAGGCCAAGAAGGGCAGATCACCTGAGGTTAGGAGTTTGAGACCAGTCTGGCCAACATGGTGAAACCCTGTCTCTACTAAAAATACAAATATTAGCCAGACATGGTGACACATGCCTGTAATCCCAGCTACTCGGGAGGCTGAAGTAGGGGAATTGCTTGAACTCAGGAGGCAGAGGTTGCAGTGAGCTGAGATTGCACCACTCACTCCAGCCTGGGCAACAAAGCAAGACTGTGTCTCAAAAAAAGAAAAAGCCACTAAGTTTATGGTCATTTGTTACAGCAGGAATTGGGAAGTAGTATAACCATGTAACTACTATTTTCTAGACACAAAGCTAGGCACCAGAGGCATAGGCGACCCAGACAGACATAATCTCCACCTTAAAAGAGCTTATAGTCTGAAGGGGAACATGAATATTAAACAATTAAACAGAAGTTAATATATTCATGATATTAGGGTACTTAGATGATGGTAATTTAGATTGATGACATTGCATTTAAGCAGGGACTTGACAGATGAATAGGGCTTAGTGATGTGAAAAGTGGGGGAGGAGATGTTCTCAGGAGCACGTGCTAACGCCCTGTGGCAGGACACTGCTTGTGGTGAAGGGATGTGAGAAGAGGCTGGAGAGATGGGCAAGATCCAAATCATGACAGGCCTTGTCTACATTCAAGAGGTCAGATTTTACCTGAAGGATGATGGGAAGACATTGAAAGGTTTAAAACAGGCAAATGATGTGTCATAGCTAACATTTTAAAAGATGATTGAGACCTCTCTATAGGGATTAGGTTGAAATGAGCAACTATAGCAAAGGGGAGACCATTAAAGGCCTATACAAGACATGATGTGGTATGGAGAGGGAGAGGTTTGGGTAGAATCAACATTTAATTTTGAGGCAGTGCCCTTAGAACTGGAGAAAATGAATGTGTTGCTAAAATGTTAAGGACATTTACCAAGTTTCTAATATCAGCATGTGGGCAGGTGTTTTATATACTTTCCTGAAATGAGGACCCCTGAAGAAATACATGGACTGGGGGCAGGAGAGATCAAATGTTTGGTTTTCAAAATGTTAAATTTGAGGTGCCTATGGAACAACCAAGCAAAGATATCAGGTAGTAGTTAAGCATGCAGGTTTGGAGCCCCCAAAAGATGTCTCACATGACACTTAAAGTCGTAGGGGTCACAGGGATGGACTATAATTTCTAAAGTCATAGAATTTGCCTAGGAAGAGAAGATCCTCAAGGCTGAATCTGAAAAAAAAAACTGACATTTAGGGCTCAAGGAAGGGGAGAGGAGGTATCAAAGGAGATTGAGAGGGAATGCTCAGAGAAGTGGAGAAAACCCAGGAGCCTGGAATCAGTGAAGTCCAGAGAATAGTATAGAAGAGGGTGAGAGGGTCGAGTGGCACTAAGAGGTAAAGAGGTGAGAACTGCAGAGCATTCCAGACTTGCGCACTTACAGGCATCCTTAGCAAGAGCAAATGTGGTTGGGTTGTAGGAGCCAGACTGAGGAATGAAAGTATTACAGGGAAGTGGAACATTGTGCAGGTGACTTTTTTTTTTTTTTTAATTACAAATTTAGAATAAAAGAGGACAGAGAATCAGGTGGTAGCCGATAAGGGATGTACAATCAGATAAGGATTCTTCTTTAGTAGGTGATGGAATTACAGGGTTAAGCACAGAGGAGAAAGGAAGAGGCTGGAGTTCCAGGAAAGAAGGGGGATAGCCTGGGGGACAAAGTTCCTAGGATGCCTGGAAGCGGTGGAACCTCTCCCTTGAGAAGGGATTCATCTTAGCTGGAAAGAGAACACCTCCCTCTGAAGGAGAGTGAACAGATGCTGGCAGGTTTGTTCTCTAGGCCACAGGACAATGAGGATGGGAGTTTCCTTCTGATGACGTCTATTTTCATCATGAAGGTCATCTACTGAAAGTGAGATGAAACAGAAGAAGGATGATCTTACATTTGGGGAAAGAGGGGAATTCACTGACTAGTCATAGCTGAACAGAGAGTGAGCAGAACAGGCCATTTTCTCTGTGGTGCCCCACTTTACCTTAAACAGGAGGGGCCCACCCTAGCACTGTGATACCTGTGGAGCAATTGTTTGTTTGAACCTCTTTACTAGACTATGAGCACCTTGAAGACAGAGATTTTGCTTTCTTCTTCTTTGCAATTTCAATATTGTTTCTGGTGTGTAGTAAAAATAGTTATTAATTCAGTTACTCGTTCATTTATCCAACATTTAATTATTTAATGTCAGATTTAATTATTGATTAAAATAAATAATTAAATGTCAGATGAATGAATGAGTGAATGAATGAATAACTATTATAGAACAGAGGACTGATATGAAAATGTGTGATTGGTCATATCCCACATATTTCTACATTGCCAGCATTCTGAGAAATAACAAAACCCCTGGAGAATTTGCCACCAATGGGCAATGAGTTTTCCAAGGATTGCAGAAGCAAGAAGAACATTCATTCAGTGAGGCCAGGTAAACCTGGGTCAGTGAAGTGGTTATAGGTAAGGCTTCTTTCTTCGGACAGGTATATTCTAAAAAACTTTGGAGAAAGCAGAATATTCTAGATGTTTCCTGTCATTTCTCCCTGGCAGAGCCAGAGCCTAGTCCTAAGGATAAAAGAAACTTTTCTTAAAAATAGAGAACATTATCACCTACAATCTCATATCTTATTTTTGCAAGTTTCAGTCTTTTCTATATATATACATTTTTTATAGTAAGCATGTTATTTAAAAACTATATATGGTGCTTTTTTCCACTTAAAATTATATCACATGAAAGCCATAGTAATCAACGCAATGTGGTATTAATTAAAGGATAAACACATAGATTAATGGAACAGAGAGTACAGAAATAGACCCAGACAATGGCCAATTAATTTTCAACAAAGGCACCAAGGCAATGTGATAGAAAAAAATAATAATCTTTTCAAAAATAGTGCTGAAATAGTTGAACAACCATATGCAAAAAAAAAGAGAACTTCAACCATACCTCACACCATATGCAAAAATTAACTTGCAATGGATGATAAGCTAAATTTAAAATCTAAAATTAAAACTTCTGGATAAAACAAAGCAGAAAATCTTTTTGACTTTGGATTAGGCAAAGGTTTCTCGGGACCTGAAACCTTTGAAAGCATGAAATGTAAAAGAAAAAACTGATAAATCAGGCTTCATCACTTATAAACAGGATCCACTCTTTAAAAAGACACCATTAGGAAAATAAAAAGACAATTCATAGGCTGGGAGAAAATATTTGCAAAACTGAGAATTCTTTAAGAATTCTGAATGTAAGTCCTTTATCATAAATTCTTGATAAAGGATTTACATCCAGAAAACTTGAATTCTCATAATCATTCAGAAAGCTTGAATAATTCTCATAATTCAATAATAAGAAAACAGCCCAATTCAAGACACGGGCAAAAGGATGGATGTGGTGGCTGATGCCTCCCAGTGTTTTGGGAGGCTGAAGTGGGAGGAACGCTTAAGGCCAGAAGTTTGAGACCAGCCCTGGGCAACATAGTAAGAAAAGACCTCATCTTTACAAAAAATACAAAAATTAGTGTGCACCTATGGTTCTAGTTACTCAGATGGATGAAGTGGGAGGATCATTTGAACCCAGGAGCTCGGGCTTGCAATGAGCTGTGACTGCACCACTGCACCCCATCCTGGGTGACAAAACAAGACACTCTCTAAAAAAGTAAATAAGCAAAATGAAACCAAAAAAACTGAGTAAAATATCTGAACAGGCACATCATCAAAAGTGAATTATGAGTAGCAAATAGGCATATAAAAGATGCTCAATATTATTAGTCACCAAGAAAATGCAAATTAAAACCACATACAACCGCAAAATGACATACAGCTACCTAGCAAATGTTTTTAAAGAGAAAAGCAACTGACAATACCAAATGCTGGTGAGGGTGCACAGCAATTGGAGCTCATATGGATTGCTGGTGGGAATGTACAATGGTATAACTACTTTGAAAAACAGTTTGACAGGGATCATTAAAAGTTAAACAAACTTATCACAGGACCTAGCAATCCCAATTCTAAATAGATAGTTACCCAAGAGAAATGAAGATATATGTCTACACAAAAAAGCTGTTCACAAATGTTTATAGTAGCTTTATTCATAATATTAAAAATATGGGGAACTGTTTATCAGTTGCTAAATGGATAAATAAATACACATTGGAATACTACTCAAGATTCTTGGAAGAATTTTTTTTTTTTTTTAGACAGAGTCACTCTGTCACCCAGGCTGGAGTGCAAAGGCACAGTTTTGGCTCTCTGCAACCTCAACCTCCCTGGTTCAAGCGATTCTCCTGCCTCAGCCTCCTGAGTAGCTGGGATTACAGGCGCATACCACCATGCCTGGCTAAATTTTGTATTTTTAGTAAAGAGAAGGTTCCACCATGTTGGCCAGGCTGGTTTCAAATTTCTAACCTCAGGTGATCCACCCAGCTTGGTCTCCCAAAGTGCTGGGATTACAGGCGTGAGCCACCATGCCTGCCTGGAAGAATCATTTTTTGAAGTATTCATATTGACCCATTCAGAACTGGTCTAACATTTCATCAAGGCTGTGAGTTGCTGTTGAAACATGTGGGAGTCCTGAGAGCAGGGTGATGATAAACCTCACACTGAGTGCAGGCTTCAGCCCTATCACTTCCCATTCCTCTCTTCCATTTGACTTGCTTTAGTCCTCATCTGACTTGGTGCTCCTTCAGTTGTTCCTGCTGTCCCCTGTGGTTTGGCTCTAGGTCTCCTGTGTCATTGCCAGAGAGCCAAGGACATTTCCACAGGAAGGGCATTTGCTGCGAGGCTCAGCTGCCCCACTAATTAGCCCAGTGTTTTAGATCATCCAGAGCGGGAAGAAGAAACAGATGAATATCTGTTGAGACTTGAGGGCAAGACCTTGTCTTATGCCTCTTGCAGTGGCCCATCATCTGTAAGCACAGAGTATAATATATAGTAGGTTCCCAATATATGTTTGCTTTGTGTGCCAATTCAGTTTCTTTCTAAGGTGTTAAATTCAGTTCGTAGTGTGTGTAATTAAAGTGTAAGGAATGAAAACTGAAAATCCTGTAGCAGGAGATAGGCTTAAATCATTGGAAGAGAAATAATAACCTTAATGTGTTTAATTTAAGGTTATTGGCTATGTAATATATTTTTGTTCATTCATATATTTCCAAATATTGATTGAATACCAACTATGTCATAGATTCTATGCCAAATTATTTAGGTCAAAAGGATCTATATCCAAGAACAAAAATAAATGATTAATTAAAAGTTTCAGCTGGGCATAGTGGCTCATGCCTGTAATCCTAGCACTTTGGGAGGACGAGGCAGATGGATCATGAGGTCAAGAGATTGTGACCATCCTGGCCAACATGGTGAAACCTTCTCTCTACTAAAAAATACAAAAATTAGCTGGGCCTGGTGGTGCGTGCCTGTAGTCCCAGCTACTTGGGAGGCTGAGGCAGCAGAATTGCTTGAACCTGGGAGGTGGAGATTGTAGTGAGCTGAGATCATGCCACTGCGCTCCAGCCTGGCGCCTGGTGACAGAATGAAACTCTGTCTCAAGAAAAAAAAGTTTCAAAGATGTATATTGGTCTTCACGTATTTTGCTGCCCAGTGAATGTTTTTCTCTTCCTGCTTTTTTCTTCACAGTAAGAAAATAGATGTTATATACAGATGTCCTGGAATGGTGACTGGAAACTGTCTTTTCTATCCCAGCGTACTTCATTTCAGTGAGTAGCAAAGAACGAAGTATCAGAATTCAAAAAGCAGGGGAACATGGATACTTCTACACCATCTATCTACGCCTTTCTCTCCCACTGTGACTATCAGCTGTTTTAATACCTGTTTTGTTCAGAGGGAAGAGTTTTCCCATGTTTACTTCCTCTTTGTTAATTGAAAAGACACAATTGTTTTTACTACTTCAGGCTTTCATTAATGAATAACTATTTTCTGAATATTAAACATATACAGTTAAATTTTCTCTATTAGTCTGTTATCGGTAGTTTCTTTCTTCCCTCCCTCCCTCTTTTCCTCTCTCCCTCCTCTTTCCACCTCTTTCTTTCCATGCTTCTTCTTACGTTTTGATGATTTTGATTTTTGTTTAATTAGTTTTTGGTGTTGCCATTGGTTTCATAAATTACCGGTGGTAAGAAACAGAAATAAAACATCTGATAATATTTGGAGACTGACTTGTATATGGACAATGAGTCATGCTCATTTTTATTGATGCTAAGTGGTGACTTCAAATCATTTAGGAGAAAAATTTTAGTAAATAATTTCAATACACTTCTTCACTTGAAAAAATAGTAGACAATGTAGCATAGAAAAAAAACTTTGTACATTCCCATTATAAGTATCCCTCAAGCTCTCTGGTGTCCACAAGCATACACAATCTAATTAATATATTACAACTATAATTATGGTGGTTGTGAAGGGCACATGGGAAGAAGGGGGATGACGGAAATATTCCACATTGAGCCTAACTGGTGTTTTTTTGTTGTTGTTTTCTTCTTTTCTTTTTGAGAAGATCTTGCTCTGTCACTGAGGCTGGAGTAGAGTGACACAATCATGGCTCATTGCAGCCACAAACTCCTGGGCCCAAGTGATCCTCCCATCTCAGCTTCCTGAGTAGCTGGGAGTACAGGTGTGGCCCCCATATCTGGCTAATTTTTGTATTTTTATTTTATAGAGACGGGGTCTCCTGATGTTGATCATGCTGGTTTTGCACTCCTAGTCTCAAGTGATCCTCCTGCATCAGCCTCCCAAAGTATCGGCATTATAGGCATGAGCAACCATGCCTCACCTAAATGCTGTTCATTGATGGGCTTCTAGGTGATACTTCTGTCTGCTGCAGGGTTTAGAGGGTAGTGGGTTTTCTGAGGTTCTCTAAATCAGGAATATACAATCAGTGAAGCAGTACACTTTCAATTAGCAGAATCTAGCCTTTTAATGGCCATCTGCTGCTATCAGACATTTTTTTGAGGAGCCAAATCCCGCAAGCCCTACCCATGGTGATTATTATTCATCAGACAAAATAGATTTCTTCCTGTGGGTAGGGAGAAAGGATTCTCCTTCTAGGAAAAGAAGATGATCTCCATATGATAATGTATATGACATGCGGAATAGTTCTTCACTTCTGAGAAGAAAGTATGGCCAGAAACACTTCTCAGCAATGTATAGAGCTTGGGCTGACAAGCTCTGCTGACCTCTGAGCAGACTGCTGACACTCAGTGAGCAGCTTTGGATAGATGTGTGCCTGGTTTCTAGGAAATGAGTTTATAACTTCCATTAAATTCTCAAAGGTGTCTATGACCCCACAAATAGTAACCAGTGTTTTATATTTGGCCTTTGACTGACCTCATCAATATTTACTTCATTCAATATCTGATGATGATGATCTCAAATATATTTTTCCAACCCCTTACTCTCTAAAAATAAAATTTATGGGTAATATAATCATTCTATACACACTTTAAAAAAACTATGCTTAATGCCTTAATGGCAATATAAAGGCAAAATCTAAAAATAATTTATAATAAAACTATATATTTTTTTATAATCTATTTTAAATTTTTTTTATAGAGATGGGGTTTCGCTATGTTGCCCAGGCTGGTCTTGAACTCCTGGACTCAAGCAATCCTTCCCCTTTGGCCTCCCAAAGTACTAGGGTTACAAGTATGTGCCACTGTGCCCAGCCAAAACTGAATGTATTTCTATTGCAAATGCTTGCATGTGACTACACAAGAAGACATAATGAAGTAGCCCGAGGCTCCTGTTGAATTGCCCTGTGTGTGACAGCTACATACACAGTTGAGCATCTGTGTATATTGGCAGCTCAAATACCACGAGCATTATCACTGACATCAAGATTTTCTAGAATGTAGACAACTCTTGGTAAAGTTCTCGACAAAATGAGGTTCTCTGATTTTCAAGGAAGTTTCATTCCTGAAAATTCTAATATACAAAACCATATCAAAACAAACAAAACCACCACTACTACCACCACGACAAATTTTGGGTTCCATATTTAAAAAAAAGAGTTAGGTTGTCAGCTCAGCTCATTATAAACAGGAATATCACCCACATGAATTCTGCTGGGGTAAGGAATGATTCTTCATTGGGTGGGATTGTTCCTTGCATTCAGGAGGTCCAGCATCCTTGGTCCCTGTCTGCTGAATACCAGGTCACATCCTCTCCCATCATCACAACAACCAAAAACATTCCCACAAACTTCCAAAATTCTCCCAAAGAGATGATGTCACCTCCGTTGAGAACACTGACCTGCTGGGTAAAGTCAGGACTCCTGACCCTTGCACAGAAGTCCTTCAGGATCTGGCTTCTGCTTCCCTCTCCATTCTCATCCTGAAGCATACACCCACCCTCTGGCCATTCAGACCATGAGAAGTTCCATGACTGGGTGTACCTTTCCTGTCCCTACGCCTGGAAACGTCTCTCCGGGTTTAACTTATTCATGATCACCTCTTCCCCACAGGCTCCTCAGCTCAGCTCACCCAGGATGGATTAGCACTCTCTTCCCATGCCCACTCTTCTTGCTTACCTCTTTACAACCCTTCGCAAACTGTATAGTAAAAGATGATGTTCATGTCAATTTCTTCCAGCGCTACTCGTACACTGTGATTTTCTTAAGGGTAGGAGAAAGAGCTCATGTATCTTTATACTCTGGCATGGTCCCCCTGGGTGTTCAGTTAATAGCTGCTGATGTTGATGTGCTAACAGAGAAGACCTTGGCCTTCTCTTGGTGCCAGGCTCTGTCCTGCCCCCAGGTCTTCTACATGCTGTTCCTTTTTCCTTGGTGCTGTTCCCTCAGCCCTGCCACATCCTACTTTTTCTTCAGGTCTCAGGTTAACTGTCACTTATCCAGGAGTGTTTTCCTTGTCTCCCTCCCTCAGCTGTCTCCACAATTCTATTATTTGTCATAAATGTACCCTGTACTTCCATTAACACTGTGGAGATGATCTCCAGGTCCTTGAAAGAACAGGGACAGTAGAAGCGGCCTAGATTAAGAACCAGGCTCCTCCTCCTTTTTAATTGGATCTTGTAAGCCAGAGGTTTCTCCATCATCTCTAAATGACTAATAATGACTTCTCCCCAATCTTAGAAATTGAGGCTCTTGAGCTTAATTTATCTTGATTGGAAATGTAAAGAAATGTGACCCTCTTGCTGGTTACATTTCTTAGTCTGACACTAGTGTATGAGAGGTTCAACACAGAAGTTTAATCAAAACTTGACACACACAAGGGCAGAAAGACACACATAAGAGCAGTTAGACTTTTATGTATGACCCAGAAAGTAATACAGGTACTTAAATAATGTAATAACCAATACTTGCTTATTATCCTGTGGAATTCTCTGTGACCCATAAAAGCATTAGCAGGTGGAATGGGCTCTGCAGTGTTAAGGTAATTAAATAGAGAGGTGAGCATTTTATTGAAAAAAGTGATTAGTTAATATTATATGTTAAGACATATAGGTTATTATTTCACTAAATAAAAAAAGAAATTCTGCCATTCTACTCTCAAGAGTTGTCTACTTGGAGGCTTATTTACATGCCTAGAGTGAGCCATCTCCATTCCTCAAACTTAGAGGTAAATTCTTTGAGGACCTCATTATGCTAATCCTTTGAACTCTACTAGGACTTCAGGCTTTTTCTGAGTTTTTGTCTTTTCTATCCTTTTTTTTTTGAGACAGAGTCTCACTCTATTACCTGTGTAGTGGTGTGATCTCGGTTCACTGCAACCTCCGCCTCCCAGGTTAAAGTGGTTCTCCTGCCTCAGCCTCCCGGGTAGCTAGGATTACAGATACCTGCCACCATGCCCAGCTAATTTTTGTATTTTCTGTAGAGATGAGGTTTCACCATGTTGGCCAGACTGGTCTCAAATTCCTGACCTCAAGTGATCTGCCTGCCTTAGCCTCCCAAAAGGCTGGGATTACAGGAGTAAGCCATCATGCCTGGCTCTTCTATTCTTTTAAAAATAACATTTTCGATGGTTTATCATTCAGTAGTCAGTCCTACGTGTACCCAGAGCTCTGCAATTCCAGAAGAAAGTTAATTTCCTAAATGATAAAATGCATTAATTCTGTCTGGGCACGGTGGCTCACACTTGTAATCCTAGTACTTTGGGAGGCCGAGGCAGGCAGATCACCTGAGGTCAGGAGTTTGAGACTAGCCTGGCCAATATGGCAAAACCTTGTCTCTACTAAAAATACAAAAAATTAGCCAGATGTGGTGGGCGCCTGTAATCCAAGCTATTCAGGAGGCTGAGGCAGAAGTATCACTTGAACCCAGGATGTGGAGGTTGCAGTGAGCCAAGTTTGTGCTACTTCACTCCAGCCTGGGCAAAGAGCGAAACTCTGTCTCAAAAAAAAAAAAAAAAAAAAAAAAGCATTAATTCTAAAAACTCTTTAGCAGCCTAAAGTCCATTGTTACTAATACTTTTTTCTGATTATATATTTTAAAATCCTCTTTAAGACAAAGCAGCATGCCTTACTAATAATATACTTGAATTTTATCTTCCTGCATACTACATGTCCAATAGCCCAGGTAAGTTTTTCTGAGTTTTTAATCTCAACACAATTCATGTTATTTTGCTTATTGATAATTGCCATTGCTATTATCAATAATAAATATTTTTTACATATAAACAAAATGTCACTGACAAAGCATAAAATTAGGTACTAGTTCTTGCTTGTCAATTTATTGCTTGCATTATACATACATCAATTAGCCATTCCAAAACATTCACTCATGAGACACAGGAAAATAATCATCACTTACACATCTATATGCTTTAGAAGAGAACTAAATCCTGAATAATCTAAAGTGCTCTAATTTACTGATTAGGAAGCTAATGTGGTTTTTCTCACAGTTTTGAGTTGACTTGAATAAGATAATTTTAAATATCCATTATTTTCCCTACACAGAAATAAATCATGTTTTACAAATATATATTTAATCTACATGTGAATATTTATAAGCCATAAGTAATGTAGATAATAAAGTCTATTTATGAATACAACCCTAATTGACAATATTTATACTTAGAATTTAGTAATAAAGATTGTGAAAAATTAGAATAAGCAATCTTATTTTTCATAATTTTTCTTTGTTACCAAATTTTATTTTTAATAGAATATTATTCTTAAAATAACAGAACTCCAGAAAGAATTCTCTGAGTTCCTACTCTAAACTCCCATTTGCATGGCATATAAATACAGTTTTATACATGTATGTATGTATGTATGTATGTATGTATACAACAACAACCTAGATATGTAACTACTTTGCCTAAAGAACATTTTCATGATTAGCTATTGCTAACACATGATTTTAAAACAGTGTTCTATATGTCTTTTGATTTCAACACATTCCTTTCCTAAGGACACATGAAAAAGGAGAAACAACCTTTAATACAATTATTAAGTACAATAGAGTGAGAAACAAAGAAATCAGGAAAAAGTGAGAACAATACTTCTACAAGTACAAGAAATGAGGGAAAAGCGTTACGACTCAAAGACACCAAACTGTGTATTCCAATTTTCAATAGACATGTATGCCTTGCAAAGCCACATCTCCTGTGTTCTTTGTATTGACTTATTCCAACACACACGGCTACTCATACATTCTGTCACTCACACAGTTTCTATGGCCTGCTGAACAGGAACACAAAGTGGCCAGTCTGTTGGCATCACTCTGATGTGGCTGTGTAAAGGAGCTCATGCCCTCCATGGTCCACTGGGATGCCTTCTAGAAGGTCCATTTCCAGCTCTCAGTGTCTTTTATACATTCCCAGAAGTCACATGAAGACTTCCAGCTCCTCTGTATCTCCCTGGCTCTCAATGTCCAGTGAGAAGTGAAGATGACAACTGACGAGTTTGGGACATGGCTGATCTTTGGATGAGGGTCTTTGAATCAATCAGTTCTCCCTTTAGCCTGTGTGGTAAAG